AGAGAGAGAGAGAGGAAGGGGAAGAATGGAAAACGATTCGTTCTTTTTTTTTTCCTTTTTTTTAACAAGCGACAAACAAATAGGCGTGTATACGTGAATTTTGTGTGCGATTAACTACATGAAACAAACGAACCACATCGGGTCTCGAAGCGGAGAGAATTTTAATCGCGCGACTGTTCCTGTTTCGATGGTCGCATTACGTACGTGTAGATGTGTCGTGTGGACGTTCCATTTCGTAACGGAGAGAGAGAGAGAGAGAGAGAGAGAAGAGAGTATCGTTTCATTATGCTAACGAAATATCGATTATGATAATGCATCCGATTGGACTGCGTGATATTATTGTTGTACGACAAGGATGATACGCGATCGACCTCGTCGCGGCACGTTTCTAACGCGCGTTTCTTCCACGCAATTTTTTTTTCCTTTTTTTCAGATTGTCGTGCGCAAATACAATGCAAGTTCGATCTTAAAAATGTTTATCTTCGTTATATGACAACCGGTTAAAAAGAATCACGTAATAAACACGATCCTTGGAACGATGATTGTCGGTTGTGATGGAGAACTTTCTTTTCTTTTTTTTTTTTTTTCCTTCTCTTCTATTTTTCTTCTCTTTATTATTTTTCAATCGCGCACGATTGAAATAAATATATATCGTGTTCTCGGCAACAATTTCGCGTACTGTCATCGATCTAACGAGGCGATTCGTGATTAATTTGGAAACCGTTCCAGACTAACGCATCCACGTTACGAGTCATTAACGAAATCGAATAATCGATGCTGCGATTATACGTAATAGCTATTAATTCTCTCGTTCGTATTCTATATCCTATTGTTCAACAAAAAGTTCTTTCGCGCTCGTAACGTGAATTAATTACAAGAGGGATGAGAGATATTCGAGATTACATCCGATCAATCGTCGAAAACAATTCGTCGTTTCGCTCCGCTCGTGATGATAATAATATCGTTCTGTTTAGAGATTTTTATTAAACGGAGAGGGGGCGGAAAAATGAACTCTACGAATCGGGGAACCGAGAAAGAGCATTCTCCATTGTCGGATGTTTGCGCAATTTAAAGTAGCAAAGGAAAAAAGAAGGGGAGGGAAAAAAAAAAAAGTAGTCTGCATCTCTCTAAGGTTAAAAACTGGAAGTGCGCGATAAAGAGGTGAAATTAGCTCGGCTAATTCTTCTCGGCTAATTAACCGTCGTTGGGAACGTTAAATGGCCCCGCAATGCGTTCGGAAAATTATTAAAACGAAGCGTATTTTTCAATATAGAATAATAGATCCGACGATCGCTGTACACAACTTGATAGAGATTCGAATATTTTAATAAAATCATTTTCGATTGAGTGTAGCCGTAGTGTTGAAATCGTGATGCAGAATTCTGTGCGGTTGTTATTGGAAATCGTGTTTGAGTTTTGCGTAATCACCGCGATGAAATCGAGTCGAAATCGAGTAGATATAAGAGGACAGTTCGTTAGAATTATAAAAATACGAAAGTCTTTTAATAATCTGATTTAATGTTCGATAATCGAGAGCAGAATGATCGGTTGATAAAATATCATTTTTATGTTACCAACAAGTAGAGCAGAGGCTCGGCCAACTGTTGTTGGGATAATCGCGTTCCTGTTCCACTCTGCACACACAGGTTTACGCGCGCGAATACAACGATGCGTGATCCGTTCAATGCGGTGTATCCGTTTTCGATTCCGTTCAAATGTACGCTTAGCACGGAATCGAAGGTCGGAACGAGGGTAAATATTTGGCTCGAAAGGATCAAAGTCTGGTATTGCGATTTAATATATACCTATGTATGTATATATATGTGTGTGTGTGTGTAAGCGAAGCGGGGGATGTTTGGACGCGGAGGATAGTTTTGTAGTAAGCACGAACGATAGATTATCGAACGATTAGCTGAACGTGGTGTGTGTGTCGTGTCACAGGAAGAAGGATTACGATGGGCCAAGGCGTACTCGATGATGGAGAAGCAGGAAAAGAGGGCGGTGCACGAGGAAAGCCGAGCTTATACCATGATCAAGGTACGTGAGTAATTGTATCCTGACAACCTTTGGAAAATTCCTTTTGATACACGAGCTTCGATGTCCAATTGCGCTATCCTTTGCACGAAGCGAGAATCAAAAGTGACCGAACACCGATTATATCAATCTTTAATATTATCGAGTGGGAAAGATCAAACGGGATGTTACGGTCCTCGACATTTTTCATTATCGCGGTGGAAACGAACGCGATAATGATTAACCGAATCGATAAGCTTCTATCATCTGAACGCGTAAGTATCGATCGTAATACCTTGTTGCAAATACCTTTGCTGCAAGGATAAATTAAAGATCGAGAAATGTAACGTGTTAAATATCATAGACAACTATTGACTTTAGATTCGTGTATTTTTTTGTATAACTTTTCCAATCCAATTTTCTTCTAAGCGATAAATAAATTTCTTGCTTTTGACTCTCGCTCGAAATAAAATATCGATGCGCCATTTCTTTCGGTTATTCGATTAAACGGCAATTTCGATGGCAAAGATTTCGAACGAGAAAATTATCGAGGATTTCTTTCCGACGTTCCGGAGAATGGAAAGAAATTTTTCCAAAATTTCTTCGAACGATATTTTACTCGTACGTTTTCGTTCATTTTTATTTATTTATTTATTTTTTTTTTTTGCGTAATTGTGTGTGTGCGTAATACATCACGTATTGTATGTTTCGTCACCACTAAATCCTCCTCACTAATAAACTTCTCTCTTCCTGTTCCACCTAATGGAATCGACGAAACATCCACCTCTCCGTTAAACTATCGATATTGTGATCGATGAATACAAACAATCCAATAACTATAATAAAAATAATTCTTATTATTTCTTCTTCGAAGTTATTATATCAAAGATATATATTTCTTTCATGAAGAATTTCTTCTACCGTTTCGTATCTATTCGCGAGGATTTTATCAATGACAATAATGAAAAACGCATGGGAACGCATTACGAATAACACGCAAGCGTTATGTCGAGTCTCCACGATTCGTGCATCATTTTCGTCGCGACTTTCGTCCGAGCAGGCGGCGGATAATTGCGCCCTCTCTCCTTCGACGAGCTATGCGAAATTGGAACGCGACGTACCGATCGATCGATGGGAATGAAACCGGCGCCGATACGATCGAAATTATTATTAATTTCGCTGGAATCGAGCCCTCGTCTTGGAGAATGAAGCGAGGCCGAGCACTTGGGACCCCTCTCGAATATCAATTAATACGTTTCGAAACTCGGTTCGAAGCACGGAGAGAAGAAGGGGGGGGTGAGGGGAGTTGCGATCCACCGTTTCGCCGCGATGACTGATCGACCCGGCCTTGCGCTTCGTCCCCCTTCCTTCGACATAACGGATGAGTACAAATTATGTTTGCATTCGAAAGACGTATTGTTCGAGTCCCTCCACAACTGTGGTGACTGAAGTTCGAGGATTAAACGTTTGTTTGGATTCACGGCGAGGATCTTCCGGATTCCCCGTCCGTCCATGATTAATCGGACGAGAAAAATTGTTTTTGAAGGTGGATCGATCGTTGACATCGTTATTCGATGCTTCGAAAGATGAGCAGGATATACATTTCGAAAATAAATTATTGGATGAACTTGACTTTTATCTTGGAATGTGAGAATTAATTAAGGAAAATGTAGAAATTATATGTACGAATATAAATTAATAGGGAGGAATACAATTGAATAAATATTTCTGCTTCTCATCTCAAGTGTACTTTCTAATGAATCTGACTTTTATCTTGCACGTGGAAATTGACTAAGGAAAGCATAGAAATTATATACAAATATACATTAATAGGAAGTATTGAATAAATATCTTTGCAAGTGTAGTTTCGATGCCTCGAAAGATGAACGGGATATACATCTTGAAAGTAAAGGAATTTATTGAATGAATCTGACTTTTATCTTCCACGTGAAAATTAATTAAGGAAAGAATAGAAGAATAATTATATACAAATATAAATTAATAATAGGAAGGATTGAACAAATATTTTTGCAAGTGTACTTTCAATCATTGAATGACTTTTATCTTCCACGTGAAAATTAATTAAGGAAAACATACAAATTGTACGTATAAATTAAATATTTTTGCAAGTGTATTTTCTAATGAATCTGACTTTTATTCTTGCACGTGGAAATTGATTAAGGAAAGAATACAAATTGTATACAAATATAAATCAATAGGAAGAATTGGACAAATATCTTTGCAAGTATACTTTCTTAACGCCCAGAGAGATGAGGAGGAAAGGAAGAGAGATAGATAGAGGGAAGATAATAAGGTGTCGGGGATCGAGTCGTGCGGATTTTTCTCATTTTTTCGCGGAACGAAAAATGCGTCCGAAAGAGACGTGGCCCCGAGACGTCGGGTACACTTGACCTACTTGTCGATTCTGTCGAAATCTCAATCCCGATATTAACCGTGATCGTGCCGATTTAATCCATAAGTATTCGCGGCCCGACGTGATCGATGGAACGTCGGCGGGCTAATTGGGTTGGCTGTATACCGTCGAATAAAGCCATCGTAGCCGGATATCTGCTGCCTCGTTATCTCGATAAAAAATAGCGAGAAAAGGGAGAAGCAACATTCTCGAAAAGTCATTTATACTTGCTTACTCTACTTGCTTTGGGAATAATTTATACAACGTTGCCGATACTTGCAACTTGTTATTTGTGAAAAGAAAGTATTCGAGAGTTAAATAAAATTGTTAAAACCATAGAAATATGCGTGTTAAATTCTCGAAAGTAATTGTTTTCAATTAATAATAAGACTGTTAGGACTGTTACTCTTCGTCGATTTCTAGGAAGGCAAAACGTGTTCAAAACACGAAAGAAACGCGGAAACTTTAAAATGGATTTCCCTTTAAAAGAGATTTTTCCAATTCCCCAATTGCCAAATAATAACCTTCCAACACTTTCGACGAGCCAGTTTTCACAAAAAAAAAAAAAAGAAAGCCTCGCAAATGTGTGGATCAGCAAAACATCGGAGGAGATTCCGATCAAGATAAATTCACCACGTCCCATTCACCAGTCTAGTCTCGATCCTTTCTCGTGTCGTTTCGATCTCTTAAAAGGAAAGGAGGAAGCTTGAATACGCTTGAATACTTGGCGTCGACTTGGAAGGGTTTATAAATGATTCGCGGTTTAAATATCGTGGATTTGTAAGAGAGATTTGTAAGAAGAAAGCCGTGTGCACGTGCGTGCATGCACGATACAGGCCGTGTGTACATAAACGTTGATGGAATCTCTTAAAAGTGAGTGTGAATAGTGCGTGACGAGCGAGAAAACCAAAGGGTATGAAACGAGGCTTCCCCGTGATAGAACATCACGGGATTCAACTTCTAAAAATAGTCTCCACGTCTCTCTGCACAAACCTCGCTTGCGAAAGCAAGAAATTCGCGCAACTTTGGGGGATTAATTGTCTTTTTGCCCGATCTTTTCGAGATTCAACGCGAGTTTCGCCCGCATGCAAAAGACAGGTGGTGATGATTTGACAACGAAATCGCTCGTTGAGTCGAAATTTCTACCGAATGTTATCCATGAATGAATTATTTTTTTTTTTTTTTTTTTGCGAATTGAAGATATTTCTATCTACAACTCGGGATATATTTGATTTGGTTAAAATGTTTGTTCGAATAACATCGCGTCACTTGTTGCCCGAAAGAATTCAAAGATGCGTGTATTTATTTGAAATATTATTTCGATAGAGAGCAAGGATGGAGAGAGAGAGAGAGAGAGCGGCTTCCAATAGAATAGTTTGTTCGAATAAATAGAAGGGTAAATCGTTCACGTGTTGTTCGCGTGAAAAGTTTATATCAAAAACATCCCTAACAAGAATTCTATTAAATGAATTTCGATTCGATTGGTTAGTTTCGCATAAAAGAGAGAGAGGGTAAACGTTGCGTTAGATCGTGCGTTTGAAAAGTTTCGTTATCTATCTCTAGGTTGGAGTGGAGAATCGTTTCAGTGAAACAGAATTGGGGCGGCAATGAAACGAGCAATGGGAAACGAAATGGAAGAAAAATGGAAAGACGAGAAACGATTCGTTCTACTTCGCTTAATCCAAGGGGAAGGCTAAATTTGAGAAGTTTCGTTGAACTGCTTTTCGATTATGCCTCGTATTTATCGAATATCCTTTCGCTATATTATCATAAAATTGCATCCCTCCTTGCATCACGTACGAACCTCGTTCCAACCTGAAAATTACTGAAAACTTTTATCGACGTGAGAATCAAGAGAAATGAAAGAAAGACATAGCTCGAATACTTTTCAGATATACGACTTGATGCAACGAAGCGTCGTTGTGGACGATCGGTATTTCCACGAGTTCGTCCCGAATTAAAGACAACGGTCTCGCTTTACACGGGGAAGGAAAAAGACATATCTCAACGCGGCCATTCGGTCCCGTGAAAGATGCCGTGTTTTATTACTGGTGTACTTTTTCCACCACGACGCGATAAATCTCGCGCGAATTTGTGGCGGCCGATCGTCTCGTGGGAATCACGTTTCGAGCAAAACGTCCTCCATTGTAGATCCTCCGTTACAACGATCTTGTTGCCTGCATAGATTTTTTTTTTTTTTTGATTTTTTGTTTTTTCGTCAGAGGATAACGAGACACCAATGAAAGGAGACGAATGATTTTTTGAAGAAAACTGATTTCGTTGATCTTGAGGAATTGAAAAAAGTAAATTCGAAGGATAATAATATTTTGAAAAGTAAAGTAAATGAAAAGGAAAAAGGGAAGGTTGGAAATTTATTAGGAGGAGGCGAAATTCGATTCTTTGAAGATCTTAATTTCAAGCATGGATTTTTTCGTCAAAGGATGACGAGACACCAATCGAAAAAGGAGACGAAAGATTTTTTGGAAAGTTGATTTCGTTGATCTTTTGAAATTGAATAATGTACGGGAAAAGGAAAAGTAAATTTATTGTATCGAAAGGAATTAGAATGGAGAGAGTTAAGAGGCAAATTCTGATCGTAAGATTCTTTGAG